ATTTTGCATTTTACTGAAGAAATCATCATAGTTTTCAATTATCACAAAGAAAAAAGTTGCCACCTTACATTTTTGTCAATGGATATCATCCTAATTTACGAGTCATCAAAAAGAAAAGAAAAAGTTAACATCTTGCTTAGAATTTACGCTTTAGGGGCTTAGAGCTTCAGGTATCAGCGGTTTTCAATGTTCTGAAACCTGTAACCCCCCCCCCCTCCCTCCCCCTATTTTTTTTTAATTTTTTATTATTTATTTCTCTCTCCAGTTGCTTATTCATTCTTAAATTTCTGTATGATCATCAGATTCATTCACATTGATAGTGAAGTGAGGGAGGCCAAGTGATAAAATGACAGCTGCACAATTGACTAGTAAGGCGATGTATAATGGGTTTGCTGAATTGGAAGTGAAAGAGGAAATATCCAAAATCTGCTCGTTAAGATATTCACATCGGCGTCGTAATTCCTTTTCAAGAGTCAGTCAGAATAGCTTGGGATATATTTATGGTGGCAACAATTGTTCTTTATCTATTGAAAGAAGCAAACGTTTTTTAACTCCACCTGTTATTTGCCCAAGGACGCGGAAACTTTTAAGGTTCCGTAATAAGTTAAGTTCAGAGAGTGGTGCAGAAGCTTCTGATTTGCGGGATACTACTGTGAAGGGAAATGATTATCTCGCAAGCTCGAGTGGAGAAGTTTTGTAAGACCCTGATCTCGCTTCAGTTTTCTGCATTCTAGGTTTTTCCTGATGATAGGCAGAATTTAGGTATTGGTCGTATTAGCTGTCATTCCCCATGAAGTGTTATCTAATTAAGATGCTAGTTAGAATTTGAAAAAAAAAAATCTCAACTAGATATTTTCCTGAAGTAGATTCTTGCAAATGAGTATCTTAGTGGTCTCTGCCAATTACATTGTTAATAATGTGAAATAGTTGATGCTTTACAAAGCTTCTTGACATTGAAGTGGGCTGCTCGAAAAAGAGAACTCGGTGCTTCCCCTGATGATGTGTCGCAACATTAACAGAAGTGCACTTTGTTGCATCTTATTAAACTTTCATGTTACCACTATATCCAGCTTTGGACTTCCCTTTCATGCCGCATGAAAATATTTAAAGTGTTATAACAGGGTTATTACCTGTCCAAGATCTTTGTACTTTTGTGAACTTTGGTATCTCAAGTAGTAGAAGGCTCTCCTAGAATGGGCAAGGACAGTGAGTTGTTTGTCTTAATTGCCTTGGTTTGGGACTCTAGCATCTAAATGAAACATTGGAGTTATGCAGCTCTCACATTTCTTGTCTGTGTGCATACACAGGTTTTTTCCCCCTCTAAATGTAACTATTACCGAGGTTAGGTTCGTTGATGAAACTTAACTGAACCTAGTACATATTCTGAACTTTGAATATGCCATAATGTGGACTACATCCATAATTTTTTTTTTTTTTTTTTTTGGTGTTTGTCTGCCACAGGGTGGGGCAAGAGGTGGGAGGGAGGGGTTTTAGAATATTCTATAAACAGATGTTTAACATATTAATTGCCTTCGTAGATTTTATGGCGAGCTACAATACAGATTTAGTTTATATAATTAATTCATGGCAAAGTGGCTGCATTACTAATTTGCCTTTTTGATAATTTTCAAGTCAGATCAAGTTGCTACTCCTCATCGTTTTGGTGACATCATGATCATATTTTTTTTGTTTAATTTTGGTTGTACTGGCAAATATTGTGACAAATATGAATATTTTACCCTTCACATCCCTTTTCTGATCTAGTTTTCTTTTTCCTCGTCCTTTTGTCACTTTCAGTGAGTTGAATGAGACTGTTCCCATAATAGAAAATGTTGAAAGTGACTCAACAGAGGCTCCTACAAGTTCATCTCGATCTTCCGAGGTCAGGCGTGAGCTTGTGATGCTGTCTTTACCAGCAATTGCTGGACAGGCCATTGATCCTTTGGTACAATTAATGGAGACTGCTTATATTGGGCGCCTGGGTAAGGTGGAAATATTACACATTCAGCGTTTTTGGAACTTATGCTTGTTTAACTGGATTTTACAATCTTCTGAGATCACAGATGAATTGGTATAGACAACCTCCTATTTGTGTGGGGGGGGGGGGGGTGGTGGTGGTGGTGTTTGGGGCCTGATATGTCAGGATCTTATGTTAGCAATGAGCCTTAATTCTGGTAGCTGGAGCTGATGGTGGTTGTTCAACATATTGGGATCAGTAGGTTGTCTAGCTAGTTGTCATGGTCCTGCATAATGCATTGTGGTTGGACTGATTTAACATATATATCTTTACTATTGATTGTGGCTGTCAGATGTACTTTAGTCTCTATACTGTTGAAATGCATGCCATCCTTCATCTTGTGGGGTAGAAGAAAATAATGTTTTCTTTGCTGTTTTCCTACTTAGAGTAGTTTTATTATTTTTGTAGTGTATTACCTGAGTTCAGAATCCTTTCTCTCCAATTACTGATGGTAACGTATATCCGTCAAAATCATTTTTCCTTTTTCAGGACGGGGTGGGAGAGAGTTTTCTTTTAATGTCTTTGTTGCCTCTCAGTGTTCTTTAAAAGGAATTTGATTTTCTTCACTATGTCCAGTTTTCACTGGACTTGGGTCTTTTGGTTTCTTCCAATTTTCCTTTATGAGGGATACCATGATGCGGTGGAGGAAGTGTTGGTTTCTCTATGTTTACTGTTACTCTCGTGGACCTTAAGAATTGTTTTTGTTTTACAGGTTCAGTGGAGTTAGCTTCAGCGGGTGTCTCCATATCGGTTTTTAACATCATTTCAAAGCTATTTAATGTTCCTCTACTTAGTGTTGCTACATCTTTTGTGGCTGAAGACATTGCCAAGAATGCGACCAAAGTTTACATGTCAGGTAGGTGTTGTATTATTTTGTTGTCATACCTTGCATTGTAATTGCTTAGGCATTCAACTGACCTAGAGTTGATGGTCCTACTAAGAGCTTTATGATTCGTGCCCTGACTTTTATCACACACATTTATCTTTATGTTGTGCAGAGGAGGCAGAAGGCACCAACGGTAGACTTCCCATAGGGGTAGCAGAAAGGCATCAGTTTTCTTCTGTGTCTACAGCATTATTTTTAGCAGTTGGCATTGGCATCATTGAAGCTTTGGCTTTGGCTTTGGGATCTGAACTACTTATTGGTTTGATGGGCATATCATCTGTATGACGGCATATATGTTTTGTACCTTTCCTGTTTTCCCTTTGAGTTTCTTTGTTTTTGTGCTTGCTTTCATTCTATGAAGTATGTATCCAGAGCATCAGTGCACATAGTATCATGAAGAAGGAAAAAGGCATTAAAGTAAGGCTCATGAGAGGCCATTTCTAGATACATGCTTCTATAACGCCTCATCCTGGCTAATCTAGAACTGATATAACCTTTATGGTTATTGTTCAGTGACAGTATTTGTTTGTTTTTATCTGTGCGACGTCTTTTTATTTTTTTTTCCTTTTTTCGGGAGGTATGGGCCCGTAGTAGAGAAAGCAGAAGCAAAATGAGGGGCAGACCTTTATGAAATTTTGTACTATACACCACTTGGGTGCAGAATGAAGATGCAATCATTAGGCTAGGTTGCAACTTCAATATCAACCTGTGCAACTTGATGATGTCTACTAATAAGCTTATAGTGTGAAATAATAGTTATGCATTCCCTAATCAAGGAACATAATAATGTTGTCTCAGTGTTTCATTTAGTGAACTCATGCTCGCAACCTGAGTGAATTGAGTTGTTTTCGTTATTTTGATAATCTTACTTAGTATAACAGTTGTACTTCTTGACAAAGAGAGACCAGGTTTCTTAGCATAACTAGATTCCCATATGGTTTGGAGGAGAAAAACTCCTGATGACCTCTAAAGCAATGTTTTGGGGTAGGAAACTGCGAAAACAGTTACTTGTGGGTCATAAAATTATCTTCTAGTGCATGCTAGCCCCTCAATGCACAGTTTTGTATGTGTACGTACATAAAGATTTCCTATGAGTTCTTACTAAGAAAACTGTTTTGTTTATAGACTTCACCTATGAGAGCTCCAGCAAAAAGATTCCTTGCTCTGCGTGCTCTTGGCGCTCCTGCATTTGTAGTTTCGTTGGCCCTTCAAGGCATATTCCGTGGATTTAAGGATACAAAGACTCCAGTCTTCTGTTTAGGCAAGTCTTGAATCCCTTGCTGTCCAAGTGATAATAGTGCTTGCCAAAGATTCTTTCTGCTGGTTTTATTTATGCAGTTTTGACATATATATTCCATCTTCTAGGTATCAGTGCATAGAAACTTCCCTAGTTAAGGGTGGTTCTTGCAGGAATAGGGAAGCAGACAGTTTATGAGTACCTATTTATCTTTTAAGTTGATAGTTGGATCATTATTAGTTAAATTGTATGGTTCTTTTGTGAACACTGCAAGTCGGGGTTATTCTCTCTTAAGAAATCTGCATGCTTGAGTTTCAGGAATTATACCAATTAGTGGAGTGAGTGCTACTACTTCACTGAGAGGATAAATAGACTACCCAAGTTATCTCCAAAAGGAGCTACATAAAAACCAACAGGATCATCGTCCAGGCTGAGCTAATCTTTCTTGACAATATGATATAAACGGAGGGAGTAAAATCTAATACAACGAGAAACTTATCAAGTCCCATATCTAGTCGCTCTTTTGATTGTGAAAGGAGTACTATCTAATGGATGTTTATAGTTACAGAGAGTAATTTGATAGTGAAAAAGGATCTTATGTAAGTTTGTGAAAGGAGTACTATCTAATGGATGTTTATAGTTACAGAAAGTAATTTGATAGTGAAAAAGGATCTTATGTAAGTGTCCTACGTCTACGTGACAGATGTCAAAAAGATAAGGTTTCCACTCCTTAAAGTTTGTCAATGCAATTTTATGAATTAACAGTGTGATTCTTTTGTCCTTCCTTTATATGTTAATGGAGCTAAAGTCATATCTTTGTATTGATGTTACATATTAATTTGTGCAGGCATTGGAAACTTTATAGCTATATTTTTGTTTCCCTTACTTATGTATTATTTCGGCTTGGGTGTATCCGGAGCTGCCATATCCACTGTCATTTCACAGTATGTACTTCTCATTGCTCTTTCTAATCATGTTTGCTTTTCTTGTCCACTCTCTATTAGTTTTTTATCAAGTCTCTTTATCTTTATATGAATGAATTACTTATGTGCTTCGATTTTTCTAGATACCTGGTGGCCTTTTCTATGATCTGGTATTTAAATCAGAGAGTAATATTATTACCGCCACGATTTGGGGAACTGCAATTTGGTGGCTATTTAAAATCTGGTGAGTGCTTATTCTTGAGATGGGTATTCCAGGATTAGTCCTATTTGAAACACAAGCTCGCCTTTTTGCTTGTACCACAACAATCTCTCCATGCTTGTAGCATTTCATGTCTGTGTATTTTTCATGGCAGTTAAAGAGTTCATCTGATTTTGTATTTGTCTTGCCTTAGGTGGTTTCCTAATTGGAAGAACTCTTTCTGTCCTTTTCACAATGACACTTGCTACATCAATGGCTGCCCGTCAAGGTGCTGTAGCGATGGCTGCTCATCAAATATGCTTACAAGTTTGGTTAGCTGTCTCCCTCCTCACAGATGCACTGGCTGCATCTGCACAGGTAAGTTGAATATAAATGAAATTATGTTATCCCATGTGATATGGTTCCGATTCTCCTCATAACTTCTTTCTTCTCATGTATCTCCTATATCAGAACCTTTCTTGTGTTTGTGCATGTATGTTGCTTCACTGTGCTGGCCTCTATTCTTTTTCTTGTTTAGCAATTAGCAAAAAAACCATGTTCGACTTGGCCACAACTGTCGGGGCTTATCGAAGCTTTCGAAGAATATATATCAGATGACATATATTGGATTTGACCAGTAATAGTTGTTGTCATACATCTTATCACGCTTTTCTCAATTTGACGCAACTATTCCTACTTTGTTTCCAGGCGTTGATTGCTAGTTATTTATCAAAAGGTGATTACGTGGTAGTAACCGAAATTACACACTATGTGTTAAAGGTTTGTACTTCCTTTTTTTTTCTCCTGCAAGTTGTGAGACGCTCTACGCTAATTTAATATCGGATTGGACCCATAATTTGCAGATAGGGCTACTTGCTGGTGTGTTTTTGGCAGCTGCATTAGGTGTTTCTTTTGGCTCTTTATCTACTTTATTTACCAAGGATGCTGAAGTGTTAGCTGTGGTTAGTACAGGTGTATTGGTATGTCTCTATACCATTTGGGGAATCTTTCCTTAAAATTGTCGATTTAACAGATTTTTCTTATCTTTAACTGATTTTCTAAAGAGTGTGGTTATTGCTAATTAACTAAGTTCAAAACTTAAAATTGCTGCAGTTTGTCAGTGCCAGTCAACCAATAAATGCTCTTGCCTTTATCTTTGATGGCCTCCATTATGGTGTTTCAGACTTCCCTTATGCAGCTCGCTCCATGGTAAGTATGTAGTGCATTATGATATTGATACTTACCAAGTATATATTCACACCACGTAAAAATCCCTCTTTCACTTCTGCATAAAGATGCTGGTGGGGGCAATATCATCGGGATTTCTGCTTTTTGCTCCTAGACATCTTGGTCTTCCTGGTGTTTGGTTGGGTTTGACCCTTTTCATGGGATTACGCATGATGGCTGGGATTATCAGGTAATGGATATCTTCCATCATCCTCCCTTTTGCATGCAACCTAAAACTGTATTTTATTGATTTAAGTATGTGGATCCATGTTTTTCCTCGACAAGATTCTTTCGATGCTCTTTGTATTGTTCCTTGTTTGTGGTCTGAGAGGTATTTTCCATTGATTCAGCAATAAACGTTGTTGATTTCAGTTGGAGGCTGGAGGTTCTTAATGTTAGATATCCATATATGTTACAGGAATTCTAGATAAGCAGTGTGTTAGTTGTTAGAATAACTGAAATCATTGAAATTCTTGTAATATTATATACTTTATCGCAAGGTATTTTTGCATTCAGGTTATTGTCAAAGAAAAGTCCTTGGTGGTTTCTGCATTGTGACACTAATGAAGCCAAGGTGAGTAGATTTCTCATTTCATAGGTATAACAACTAGGTTTCCTTGAAAGTTTTTATGAAACTTCTTTATTCTTCAGAAAACAGTTCCTACATTATTGTTCCTGCATGACAAACCCTGTATTATAATAGTTGCATAACTAATCATATAGGACAACCCTAAAAATCTATGATAACTTTGCTTTCGGATGAAAGAACCTGGAACCTTGAAGCCGTAGGAATGTCTGCCAAATGGCTTAGCAGGTGCAGTTTTGAAGTGGTGGTCTGCTATTTTAGTGCTAAAGCGGTGAACATCCTCCTCCTGTGTTTTCAGAAATAGATGATGTGAATTTTGCCCGTGCACAAAGAGCAATTTTAACTGAATAATTGGTAAATTCAAGTGAAGCAATAAGATGCTTTATATTTACTGGGAAAAAGACATTATTGTCAATTTTGAACTACAGAACTCCTCTTAGAATATCATAATCCATTGGCTTTTTCGTAATTTATTTTAGGTTTACCTTGTCCAAGATTATTAATATGAAAATTGTAAGATAGTCTAGTTCTGCTATTAAGTTGATAAATATTATTCGCTGGTTATGAGTTATCTTACTCCGCATTCTCTTTCAGGTTATTAGTTGAGTGGATTCGATTTTCAGGCCTTCTTTGAAACTTATCTAAGCCTCCTTTCATATACTTAAACGACTATGTTTGATGGATGAGCCTTTTCCTCTAAAAATAGGATTGCTGAGCCTCTTTCCTCCAAGGTGGCTCGTATCTTTAGATAGCTTTATACAACTACGGAACAACTGTACATTGAATTATTTACACTACTTCCCTATGTAAATATGTTGGGCTATATGTTGGATTCTATAATGTTCGGCATCTTGGTTAAGGAGTCAGCTTGGTGGAACGGAAAGGAATGAACAGGTTATATCTTGAATTTACTCTGTAGCCCCAACCCCCTCTTCATTCCTTTAGTTTCTTGAGGTCAATCAATCCCTTTAAGGTGTTGCAAGCTTGGTGTACGCAAAATACACGTAGTGCAATTGTCTTTTCTACAACTTTTTATCAGCAAGACTTTGGATGTATACAAGCCTCGAGAGGTTTTAATTTAATGTTTGGATGTCTATGTTAATCTACCTACTGATTCTTATACCCAGCTGCTTCTCATAGTTGCTGTGAGATGATTATTGTTGCACAATCTTTCTGCCGAGTTTCTAAAAAGAAGAGTATGTATGAATGTCGAGCTGATGTATAAAGCTTTCCAGGGTGGGATAAACAAGCTTATTACCTCATATGAGAAAGACACAACAGTGACAGCACACCTTTAAGACAGTAAAATAAGGAAAACCACGCAGCAGAATGTAAGAAAAGCAACAGACAAATCTTCTTTGTGCTGTTGAATTAGGCGGTGTAATCCGATGGGCCATAAGGTTCGAACCACTCCGCCATGAGACCCTTTTTTCTCTTAGGATTCCAACCCATGTCCTTGCAGAGTTGGTCATTGTGCCAAATATGCAATGCACCAATGCATGATCTCCTGTAGTATTTCTTGCTGTATCTTTTCTTGTATTTATCCCATTGTGCTATGTCTTTCTCCATGGCCTTGACGCTAGGTAGTTTAAACTTTCCATCTAGAAGTTCTGCCAGCCATCGACACCTTATTTCCGATGTGTATAGATTTGCCACGCTTTCTGAGAACCCAATTATTGCCAGCTGTGGAATTTTGGGATGAATACATTCCCTGATAATAATAATGCAGAATGTCATGACAATTATACACATGGTTAGTTCAGTCCGAAGTATACGAAAATCAAATTTTCGTTTAAAATGACTAAGTACAAGTACTGCGTTTGATTTTCAGTATAAATTTCCCTATATAACTAATTGAATCTACATATAACTAATACTACAACTTTCGATTTTTGCATAAGTTATGTATGAGGAATTTAATAATGAAAAATAAACTCTGTATTATTAGTTCCGATAAAACTAGGTATTATGTGAATTTTGTGTATATTATTTTATAAGGGAAAGATTGTATACGTGTATTAGCAATACGTGGAATCCAAGATTAATTTAGGTCAATCTTGCACGATAATTCATGTATTATTATTCATGAGGTAACAATCCCGCTATTATTATTCATCGCTCTGCATGAACAATCCTTTCATCCCAGAGAATGTTAGGCTTTAATTACGTACCTATATAGAGGAACTGCAGAACCATCTGAGCCTGCTATGTATTCCTGAAAAGTTGGTGATTCAAATACGTTTTTGAGCTTGTCTATTCCCTTCCAACCAGTAGCGAGTATGACCAAGTCCGATTTAATTGGTTCAGCCTGACCCTCAAGCACGATACCTTCTTTAGTAAATCCAAAACTCTTTGCTTTCTTCAGCTTGAGACGTCCTTCCTCAACTCTGTCGTAGAAGCCCTCAGGCACCGTAGAAACTAAACATGCGCTCAATTCGTTTAAGAAACTATGCTCTGGAACCATTCCATGTTTTCAAAGCTTGAGCTTGTGTTTTATATGGCTTTCCACAAATTTTGAGAATCCCCACCTCTGTATAAAATATGATAGTGAGAAATCGATTAGTACTACTCATGATTTGTGAGTTTATTCCACACGCACGATAGATACAGTAAGAATTAGCAGAGGTGAAAGAATAGTAGCCATGACATATAAAAGAAGGCCTTCACCGGGCTTATGCACCATAAGTTCGGAGAATCGACTTAGATAGAGTTTTGCCAGAGGGAATCCCCACGGAAAATAATCTGGAAGGTTCCAGTGTGGAGTCCTGATTATTACTGTGCATGGACGTTCAATCCCTGCTAAATCATTAATTAGTGCAAATAATTGGATTCAAGATTTGAAGTTCCTACAACCACCTTAAGCTAATATACAATAATAATTGGCAGGGCGGATTTAGGGGGCGCAAGGGGGGTTTCACCCGAACCTCCTTCGCCAAAAAATTACACTGCATATATAAGGCAAAATCTGGTTTTTATCTCTATATATTAAGTTTTGAACACCCTTGACACAACCCTAAAGTATAGTTTAGTGGTGAAGGGGGTTCAAAATCCCTTCGTGGAGATCCCGGCTCCGCCACTGATAATTGGCTTTATATATAAACAAACAACAAAAGAGGTAGAATAATGGAAGATCAATAGCAGTTAATTACCATTAACGGTCGAGCATTCCATGGCAATGTCCATTCCTGATTTTTGGAATCCAACAACGGCTACGTTTTTATCTTTGACTAAATTAGTTGCAGTTGTGGAGTCCATTTTGGAATAATCCATTGACTGGATTACTTCACCATCGAAAGCTTGTGGACCTTTGTTTGGAGGGAATTCAGGAATATTTGGAACTTGGCTGAATCTTCCCACGCAAACTACTACAAAATCAACTTGGTATACCTGCATGCAAAATTCACGTATTTCCTCAAGTAAACCTAATGAAACCCCAAATTAAGATTTTAATTTGGAATATGAGTCCTTTGTGTAGCCATTTCTTATTAGTAAATGCTTACGGGTTACTCTGATTTCTCTTCTGTCTATCATGAAAATTAAAACACACTTTCTCACTTCCAATTTACTATACCACACTTGCTTTTTTGGAATTTCCAAAACGTTTAATCATCATCCCATTAATAATATTATTGTTTTTATTTTACATCAATCTTTAAAAATTCAAAGTTATTTAACTGGTTAAATATTAAACTTGATATCATGATGTTTTATCAATCAAAGTAACTTTTCAACAACATAATTTTAAATTTTCTTTTACTATTAATAAAGTAGTGAGTAATATATAGTACATAAATTAAATTTTAAAAAAACTGATGCTATAAGTTTAAACATGGAAAGATTGCAAGAAAATGGACTTTGGGCATTTTTCTTTCTATTACTAGCAAATGAAAGTTCGGTGCCCATGATAAAGCACGCAGTATAATCCCATTAACGAGGTTTCGGGAGGATAGTGTGTAAGCAGACCTTACCCTTACCAGAGAGGCTGTAATAGACCCTCGGCATCCTTCCCTCCAAGAACACCTCACCTTGCTCTTGATGTTACCCGAACTCACAACCTCTTGGTTGGAAGTGGAGGGTGCTTACCACCGGGCACCAGAGCAACCCACCTTGCCAAACGGACAGTGGTAAGCAATAAATAGACAGTGCTTAATTCCAACTGGCACTTTTCTCTCTCCAATCAAAGCTTATATATAGTGCGATTTACGCGAGCATGTGTTATTTAAAACTCTACGAGATCTTGAGGATTCTCTTTTACAGTGGAGTATTTTTTAAAGCGAATGAATGAGTGGAGACGAATTGAAAAACGTGAACTTTAAATAGATTTGTTGTAACTTGTAGTGGTGTAATTGGTTATTACCTTTATGGAGAGGGTTCCAGTGTCCTGTACAGTGATGTTCCACTTCTCTTTAGTGCTAAAAGGCTCGCCGGTGCCGCCCCACAAATTGAATTCTCCGCCGGAGTCGCCACCAGATTCATAGCTGAGGTTCAACACTTTGGTATTGAACTGAATGTGGCGGAGCAAATCAAAGTGTCGTGCGTACGACTCAATGTACTCTAAAACGGTGTGTTGATCGGGGAACACATCGGTTACAGAATCAGGCCATGGAAAATCAGAGAACTGGTGTCTGGTAAAGAGGTTTTGGTGTTTGCAGCTTTGTGCTCTCAATGGTCTTAGTCCACACACCTCCAATACTACTCTCGGACTCGAATACAATGGGATCAAAACCTTTGGAAAGGCTGTATTTGCAGGCCAATAGGCCGCTAATACCAGCTCCAATTATGGCTATCACCTGCTTTTTTCCGCTCTCTCTTTGTTCATTTGCCATTACTGTCACTGCTACACTCTCTCTCTCTCTCTCTCTCTCTCTCTCTCTCTCTCTCTCTCTCTCTCTCTCTCTCTCTCTCTCTCTCTCTCTCTGTGTGTAGAATGTGTTGATTAAATGTTGATAGTAAATGAGCTTAAAAGATGGCTGCATTGACTTCTTTATTAGTGATCTTACCCGTTTTTGTTTTTGTAATTTCCAAGAATAGATCTATACTTCGCCAGGTGGACACAAGACTTAATATTGTAATTCCCAAGTATGACGTCGCTTTCCTCGTTGTTTGATTTTACTTGATTCGGAAATGAAAAAGGATTTAGGTCTTGATTCGGTACATTTATGAATCCAGATTATTATCTAATTATCCAAATAATCCTTGTTGACAATTAGACTATAGGCCCAACAAATCATAACTTAATAACAATGACGTAATATTATTAGAATGAATTGCTGGCAAGACCAATATGGCCAGTTCCAGCTACTCCTTATAATTACCAGATTTGGAAAAGAATAAGGACGGCGTGATTGAGTATTAAATATTTAGGGTGAGGGATCGCACTAACAGCTCTTCTATTAGTTCCTTCCACGCCAAAGGAGTATTTAATCATATCTCCTTGTCCTCGTGATCGAATTTTTTAATTTATAGGGGGGTGCTGGGGTTCCATAGGAAATAGGAATTGGAGACTCCTGCACAACGAAGCCAACACTTTAATGATTTCTGAGGCATTCAAAAGCACGACCTCTTTAATGATTTTATATATATATACATATATGCTTTGGAAACGAAAACTCAGAATCTTATATAATCATATCAACTTCAGATTATAAAATATAGATATATATAATATAAAAATTGTGACCAACGTTGGTCGCTAACTAAAGGGTAGGCAGGTAGCGACCAACTCTGGTCGCTCCAATGGGACCCAGTTATACAATTTTAATAATTTATATTATTAATTTAAATATTATATGAAATATAATTAAATCTGATTTAAATATAGCGACCAGCTTTGGTCGCTAAATTAAATTCTTGAAAAAATAGCGACCAGAGTTGGTCTCCATTCAGGTCAACAATGGTCAAAATTAAAAATTACTTTTGTATTTATTATCTAAATAATATAAATGTAAGTCGTTAATACTTTTGTAATACAAGGGATGAATAGTACTACGAATCGTGCGTCTGTGTCTATATATATATATATATATATATATATATATATATATATACACTTATGCTATATATATTAAATTGAATTAAAATAAATTAAAGATATAGCGACCAATGT